AAAAAAAAAAAAAAAAAAAAAGAAAACGGAAGAAGCAGCAAGTTATGAAGTTTGCCCTTGACTGCACCCACCCTGGAGAAGAGGGAATCATGGAGGCTGCCAATTTTGAGCAGTTTGTTCAAGAGAGAATCAAAATGAATGGAAAATCTGGGAATCTCAGTTGGAGGGGCTCTAACCACTGAAAGGAACAAAAACAAGATTACAGTAACTTCTGAGGTGCTTTTTCCAAATGGTGTTCGAAATAACTCACCAAAAAAATATTTGAAGGGGGCACCTGAGTGGCTCAGTTGGTTAAGCATACAACTTAGGCTCAGGCCATGATCTCATGGTTCCTGGGTTTGAGCCCCACATGGGGCTCTGCACTGAAGGTGTGGAGCCTGCTTGGGATTGTTTCTCTCTCCCTCTCTCTCCGCCTCTTCCCCACTTGTGCATGTTCTCTCTCTCTCTCTCTCCCCCCGCTCTCAAAATAAAGAAATAAACCTAAAAAATATGTCTGAAGAATAATCCCTGTGATTCATTGCTAGTAGTTGCTAACAGCAAAGAGAGTTACAAACTGTGTTACTTCCGGATTAACCAGGATGAGAAAGAGGAGGAAGAGGTGGATTAAAACTCATTTATCTGGAACATTTTGTATGAATTCTTGAATAAAACTTGGGAACTAAAAAAAAAAAAATAGAGCACAATTGTGTAATAGAGAAAAATTGGCTTGGTGACTACTTAAAGTGAACTTCCTGAGGTGGTGACATTTGAGCTAAGATCTGAATAAGAAAAAACCAAAGCCATATAAAGATGGAAAAGGAGAGTGTTTTAGGCAAAGAAAAGAGCAAAAACAAAGGTACTGCGGTGATCACAAGCTTGACAACGCTCAAGTGACAAGAAGACCCTGGTGCCTGAGATAAGAATGTAACAATGTGGTTGTAAGTGAAGCAGAAGCAGGCATGGGCTAGAGCATTTTAAGCAAGTAGGTGACAATAAAATTTACTTTTCAAAATTAACACTCTTACTGCTCTTTGAAAGGTAAATGGGGAGGAGGGGAAGCAAGATGAATTGTGAGGCTGTTGTGGGAATCCGTAAGGGAGGTGACATGGCTCTGTGTCAGGGGGTACAGAGCTCCAGAAAGCAGAGCCAACAGGAGCTCCATCCAAAGGGATGTGAAGGATAAAGAAAAGAGAAACCAAGGATGGCTCCAGGTCTTTGAACAACCAGGTTGTTTTACCAGAATGCAAGGAAAGGAAATATTTTTCCCTTTCACTGATGTGTTCTAAGTGCCTATTATGGTAAGTAGTACAAATTAGGCACTCAATAAATAGCTAATAATTTTGTTGAATACCAGATCTGGTAGAAGATAAGAAAATATATTTATATGCTGATCCAGCAGACCAGAGGAAAGTTGATGACAGTGAAGAAGGACATTATAACAGAAACAAAATCCCCAAGAAGGTAGGAAGAGGTAGGATTAAACGTTTAAGTGGAGCTGTTGGCATTTATATGTAACAGAGAGGAAAGCAGAGAATATGGTGGATGGTGGGGAGTGGATGGGTTGGGGTGAAAGCCTACAGCAGGGAAATTGGGAAGACGATTCATGTTAATCAAGAGGTGGAAATGGGAGTGGCCTAATGGCAAGATTATCTTTAATCTTCATTCAAAATCCCCAAAGGCTAGGATTTAAAGATCTAAACGGGGCACCGGGATGGCTCAGT